TTTCTAAACTGCCATCATTCCTTCATTTTCAAGCCACTCCACCCAGTTACTCCGCCCACTCCAGTTGTAGACTACTGGTGGAGGCAAGAACACTTCACACAATTTCCCCAGAAATTATAGCTTTTCTAGTTTAGATAGGCAATGAACTTGGCCAACCCTTCATGAATACTCAGTTTCCCAGGAAAAGGTCATGAACTCTCATGCTTAAATTCCATAAAGGGTGGGCCAAGATTTGCCTTTAAGGGGGTTGGTGTAGGCTAAATACAGGGGATTTGAAGTTAGCCAATTATGAAAGGGAATAGATTTGTCAACCAATCAGAGATACTCCATGAAAATTAATGGAGGAGAGGCCTATAACTATAGACACTAGAGAGAGAAACTCTCTCTCTGGAACCCCAGGGAAGAGAATGGAACTTGTAAGTCCAGTTCCATGGTAATTATGGAATATATCCCTTGCACTTATATCTAAATGTTTGTCTTACGTCTTTTCTGTCTCACTGTTTGTATTTTGTAATATGTTCAAGCTTTCTTAATAATGTTTATTTTATGTAACTAGATAGATTGTTTGTGTTAGTTTTAGACCTCCATCCAATTCACCAATAAAATTGGTTGTTGTGTTAAATCTTTCACTTCTGGGTAAGAACTCTTCATTTACCAAATCATGTAAGAGAAATATTATATTTCATAATCTATAGATTTGGTCAACACTAGGGTCAGTGTCACTACTGGTAGCATGAGGCGATACCTGGACCCTATTGAGGTTGCACAGGCAGTCCAACAGTCCAGGATGGCGTATCAATACGTGCCATTGGAAAAAGGTTTGCAGTGTCTCCCAGCACAGTCTCAAGAGCATGGAGGAGATTCCAGTAGACAGGCAGTTACTCTAGGAGAACTGGAAAGGTCTGTAGAAGGTCCTTAACTCATCAGCAGGCTTCTCTTACCATTCCTTTTTCATGTGAGAGCACACCAGCCTTTGAATCCTGTTACCACAGCAGAGGAGCAATCAATAAGGAGGTATACAATTCTCAGCTATCCCAAGAGATCTGCAAGGAGGAACAGGATGGGCACTGCTAGAGCCCTACAAAATGACCTCCAGCAGGCCACTGGTGTGAATGGCCTTAGCAAACAATCAGAAACAGGCTTCATGAGGGTGGCCTGAGGGCCTGACATCCACTAGTGGGCCCTGTGCTCATTGCCTAGCACCATAGAGCTCAAATGGCATTTGCTATTGAACACTACAATTGGCAGGTCCTTCACTGGTGTCCTGTGCTTTTCACAGATGAGAGCAGGTTTACCCTGAGCACATGTGACAGACGTGAAAGGGTCTGGAGAAGCCATTGAGAATATTATGCTGCCTGTAACATCGTTCAACATGACCATTTTGGTGGAGGGTTAGTGATGGTCTGGGGAGGCATACCCACAGAGGGGACGAACAGACCTCTACAAGCTAGACAATGTATTGGGATGAAATCCTTGAACCCATTGTCAGACCCTATGCTGGTGCAGTGGGTCCTGGGTTCCTCCTGGTGTACAACAATGCCCGACCTCATGTGGTGAGAGTATGCAGGCAGTTCCTGGAGGATGAAGGTATTGATATCATTCAATTCCCCTCACGCTCGCCTGACCTAAATCCAATAGAGCACCTCTGGGATATCATGTTTCGGTCCATCCGGCTCTGCCAGGTTGCACCTCAGACTGTACAGGAGCTCAGTGATGCCCTGGTCCAGATCTGGAAGGAAATACCCCAGGCACCATCTGTCTTCTCATTAGCATTGTCAGGCATGCATACAAGCATGTGGGGGCCATACAAACTACTGAGTACCATTTTGAGTTGCTGCAATAACATTTCAGGAAAATGGAATAGCCTGCTGCATACATAATTTTTTTCAATTTGATTTTTGGGGTGTCTTTGAATTTAGTCCACTGTAGGTTGATAATTTTCATTTCCATGAAACGATAGGGCACCCTTACGTTCCTAACACATTACCCAGTCCATATCAGTATAGATATCCAGCATGATATTTTTCCCCATTGAGATTTGATGTGTTTTCAAAGTGTTCCTATCATCTTGTTGAATATATAAAATTACACACGTCTGAAAATTTTTTTTTTTTTCAAGAGCTGTTTTGGTTATTCCACGTAATCTTTATGTTTTTTGGTGAGCTGAATCCGAAAATGACCTCCATTTTGTCATAGGACATCACATTTCCTGACAATTTAGGTAACTATGTTAAATAAGGCAATACCTCAAAATAAATGGAAATAGACTTATAAAATTAAAGTTTTATTACAATTTTTTCATGAAAATCCTTTTTTGAACTGAAATGAGCTCACCTACACACACTAAACTTGATTCTTCTTCCCTGTGAGGCTCCTCTTGGTGCATTTACGCTTGTGAGTGGCATCTGGAATGTCTCTCTGAAGCATCCAACAGTAGTCTGCCATCATTGTAATGCTCCATTTTCCCTGTTATCTCCTTTCCATCTCTTTAATGTCTTGGTGGAATCATTCACCTTGTTCCTCACTCACAGCTCCCAAATTTTCAGGAAAGTAGTCAAGGTGGGACTGGAGGAAATGCACTTTCAAACTCATCAGGCAATCTAAAGCTTGAAATGCTTTCAGCACTCGTCCAATGATCTTTTTGTAGTGAGGATCTTTGTTATTGCCTAAAAATTTCTGTACGACTTCTTTAAATGCAATCCACCCTTCTTTTTGAGGATCCGTCATGGTATTGACAAACTCTTGATCAACTATAAGCCTTCTAATGTCTGGTCTGACGAACACACCTTCCTTCAATTTTGCCTCCGACAGGCCTGGAAACTTGGTGACCAAGTATTTGAAGCATTCTCCATCTCTTGGAAGTGATTTTACGAATTGCTTCATCAATCCCAATTTTATGTGGAGAGGTGGTAGAAGAACTTTATGGGAAGGTACCAAAGTTTCTCGGAGGACATTTTTTTCACCGACTGTTATCACCCTCGGCTGCCAACTCTTCTTGGTCCAGTGATTTTGTCCGTCTGGACTGTCCCATAGACTCAGAAAACAAGGGTATTTGGTATCCCACCCACTGGATTCTTCAGGAAAGATTAACCCCTTCTACCATTAGAAGCACAGACTCAGGGCTGAGGCTTACACATACAGCATGCTGCTGAGTATCCCAGTAGTCAGACATGTCACTCAGAGCTGCACTTGTATTCACCCCCTTTGCAGGGGGGGAGGGGCAGAGTTTTTTACTTGCAAATAACAACAAAGGGCCAGAAGAGAACTAGGGAAATGAGGGAATAGAATTTTTTTTCCCTAAAACTTGCTTAGCTTATGTATATATTGCTGACCATCAGATTTACAGTGCTATATTTTTTTTTTACATAACTCGGACAACCCCTTTAAGGTTTTTTTGGCATTTTATATCTTAAATGCACTTATGTGAAATAATTAATAGTAATATGGACTTTAAATTTGGTTAAAAACCCATAATATAAAAAAATACCAAAAATTTTAAAAATTTGATAAATGTGAAGACAATTTTGCATTTTGTGGCAAATCATGATGTCTAGGAGTTTTTTCAATATTTTATTGGTTTTCAGCACACCAAAATACATGGAAATTAGATTAAAATATTCAAACAGCTTTTTAGTTGCAGACCTGTGTTATTGTATATTTTACATGGGAATCTGTGCTATCCAAAAAAATTAGACTTCATGCATCACTGGTACTTCAGAGCTCAGTTGTAGACTGATTCTTGATATCAGTACATGTCAGTCTACAAGGACATTGATTTTCCGCTATAAACTATACTGGAATAGCTGCCCCTTTGCAAATGTTTTATTACAAGTCACTATGTGATATTGCAAGATTGCAGATTTCATATTTTAGCACCATTTTTTCTCCTGAACTGTCAAGTCACGCTTTATTGTTGTTAAAATAAACTAGCGCCAGCTCTAATATCGGTTGGAATTTCAGCATTGTTTGGCTTGTTCTCTTCCCAGTATTTTCTGGCAGAGGTTTCAGGAATAGGCTTGATACTGTTAATGCAATGTGTTGAAGAAGACTTGGGCCATTTAATTCCTCTGGGAAATATGCACTGTAAATTAACCCATTTTGAGACAAAAACATATTTCCCTGACTTTAAATATCATATTTTTGGGTTTAATATTAGCTGATAAATAAAGACATGGTATTAGTTTTTGGGGAAAAAATATGGTATCTAAATTTCACCTTGCAAATTAGATTTGCAAACAAATTGTTTGCTTAAAAAAAAAAAAAAAAAAAAAAACCTCAGCCCCGGCCTCCAACACTTCTGGGAGACACAGGTGACAGCGCTGTGCTTTCTGGCAGTGCTAGGGGCTTGAAAACTCGCAAAAATGCACTCCAGCCCATTACAAGTGTGCATTCTCATAGGATCTGAAACTCCCAGCCCGCCAGGAAGCCACATTGACGTCATCTGTGCCTCCTGGAAGCATTGCAGCTGAGCCATTTTTGGGGGTTTTCCTGGGGAACTTTTTGTTTACAAATGGCTTTAGCCATTTATGTTGGGGGGACTTGCAAAGATACAGACTTCTCTTTGGCATGGAAGGTCTGCTCTAACTACTTGCCAACCGCAGATAGCCAAATGAGGCTACACTGTGGCTGGCTAGTTCTGGGAGGGCGTCATATGACATCCTCCCAGAACGCGCTCTCTTGCGCGCCCCCGGGGCGTACACCCGGCGATCTCCGTGACCGCTGTGTCCTACGGAAACAGCTGATCACATGATGTGGTAAAAGGCCAATCACAGTGGCCTTTTACTACGTGATCAGCCGTGTCCAATGACACACTGATCACCGGGAAATGCAATTGCAGGTTCTCGGCTGCACTTTCCTCACGCTGTCAGATTGTGAGGAAAGTACTGTCGAGAACCGGCAGTTGTCAGAGCAGGGATCGGCACCGATCATCAGGGCACTGATGATTAGTGCCCTGATGATCGGAGCCCAGCAGCGCTATCCACCAGTTCTGCCCACCTGTGCCCAGGAGTGCCGCCCACTAGCTCCGCCCACCTGTGCCCAGCAGTGCACCCACATGTGCCCAGCAGTGCCCACCAGTGCCACCCAGCAGTACCACCTACCTGTGCCTAGCAGTGCCACCTACCTGTGCCCAGCAGTGCCACCCATCTGTGCCCACCAGTGCCACCCACCTGTGCCCACCAGTGCCACCCACCAGTGCCCATAAATGCAGCCCAGCAGTGCTGCCAGTCAGTGCCACCAGTCAGTTCCTAGTGGTTTGCCAGTCAGTGCCCAGCAGTTGCGCCAGTCAATGCCTAGCAGTGCCGCTAGTCAGTGCTCAGTAGTGATGCCAGTCAATGCCACCTATCAGTGCTGTCTATCAGTACCCATCATCAGTACCACCTATCCGTGACACCTTGTTAGTGCTGCCTATCAGTGCCGCCTATCAGTGCCCTTCAGTGCTGCCTATCAGTGCCCATCAGTGCTGCCTCATCAACGCACATCAGTGAAGGAGAAAAATTACCTGTTTGAAAAGTTTTATAATAGAAACAAATAAACTTTTTTTTTTCAAATTTTTTGCACACTTTTTGTTCATAGCGCAAAAAGTAAAGCGCCCAGCGGCAATTACATACCACCAAAAGAAAGCTCTATTTGTGAGAAAAAAATGATAAAAATTTCATATGGGTACAATCTTGCATGACCGCGCAATTGTCAAAGTGCGACAGCGCTGAAAGCTGAAAATTGGCCTGGTAAAGAAGGGGGTATAAGTGCCTGGTAGGCAAGTGGTTAATCACTTGAAATTGTGAACCTGTACCCCCTTATGGACCAGAGTAGTTTTTATATTTATACTATGGGCCTCTTTATTTGGCAACAACTTTGTAATTACCTAAGATAACAATGTGTTACATACATAATTTCTGCAGGACAAACAAGTGTCTCTACTGATCATAATGACTTGCAAAATGTATCTTATTTCCAATGCACTCATCAAAATGTAAACTTAAAAGCACTTTTTCTACACTGAACAGTGCTAGTTTTTAAAAAACAAATGTGTTACTGAATCAAAAAGTATATATTTAAGGGTCCTTTCACACGGGGGTTCCGTCTGTCCGCTTAGGGATGAAAAACGGACACCCATGTATTTTTATGGACAAGTGGATGTAAACGGATGATCATCTGTTTACATCCGTTAACCACTTGCACTCCAGAAGATTTACCCTCCTTCCTGACCAGGCCATTTTTTGCGTTATGGCAATGTATTACTTTAACTGATAATTGCGCGGTCATGCAACACTGCACCCAGTGTTTATGTCCTTTTTTCCCCACATATAGAGCTTTCTTTTGGTGGTATTTGATCACCTCTGCATTTATTTTTTGCGTTATAAACAAAAAAAGACCGACAGTTTTTTTGAGAAAAAAAAAACTATATTTTTTACTTTTTGGTATTAAACATGTCCAATAAAAAACTTTAAAAAATCGAATTTCGTCATAAATTTAGGCCAAAATGTTTTCTGCTACATGTCTTTGCTAAAAAAAATCCCAATACATTTAAATTAATTGGTTTACATAAAAGTTATAGCATTTACAAATGGCGGTATATATACTGTTTTTTTTTACTAGTAATGGTGGCAATCAGTGACTTATAGCGGGACTTTGGGACTACGGCGGGCATTCTGACACTTAGGGGGGAACTGACTTGGTGTCACTGATTCACCAGTGACACCAATACAGTGATCAGTGCTAATAAAAAGGACTGGCACTGTACTAATGACACTGGGCAAGGAGGGGTTAACATGTGGGGCGATCAAAGGGTTAACTGTGTGTTGTGTGTTTTTTACTATGAGGCTGTGTATGTGTTTCCACTGTAAGCACACTGCTTTGTATGGCTCTGCTATGCAGAGCCATTCAAAGCAGTTTGCAGGAGCTGCCAGGGGAGAAAACTGTATTGTTTATATACAGCTCTCTCTCCCGTCGGTAATACTCGGCAATCACCGGGTGCCAGAGAGTAATCACCGTCCGGGACCCGGTGATTGACAGCCAAGGTCACGAATGGTGGCGTGGGTAGGGCGTGCATGCGCCCCCTACCCGGAGATGCAAAGTTACATATACATAAGTGATTTTGCGCACCACTGCTTCCCTGTATATAGTATTTCTGCTATAAGGTGGCGGGGAAGCGGTTAATATCTGCATCTGTTAACATCCATTTATTTTTTTAACGGAAAAAAACCCTATTTGTCTTCCGTAAAAAAAAAACAGACGGAAAACGGATGTAAACTTACATATGGTCTATTTTTGCATTTGTTTTTGCATTGGTAAAAGATGTAAAAAAACTGAGGAAAAAAATGACGAGAAACTGATGAAAAAAACTGATGTATACTGATGAAAAACAGATGCAAATTGATCTGTTTTTTTCTTTGAAAAAATGTGACTGAACTGATGAAAAAAAATAGAATGCCCGTGTGAAAGGACCCTAATTCTATAATCTGTGCCGTTTGTAATGATACCAGAACTATTATTCTGGTACAAGCATTTTTGATGTTATGTGCAAATGATATGAATGTCTTTTCTTTTTCAATCTGCGTGTTTTTAATGCCACACTAAAAAAAAAATTGCAAAGTGAAAAAAAGTTACATTACATTAATGGTTGAAAAAAAAATGCAGAAAAAAGAATAGCTAAGGCTGAGGCAAGAAGAGAAATCAGGGCTTAATTAGAGTTGAGTAGGGTCAGCTAAGGGGTAATAGGGGTTAAATATATATATTTTGCTTGTAAGGTTGCTTTAACTGACATCATATGCAGTCCTTTCCATTTTTAAGCAACACACCTTCGAGCAGAAGGTTACATTTCTGATATTCAATGGCAATCCCTCTGACTGGCATTGGCGTAAAATCAAAGAAATACAACGTAACAATAATGTTGCTACATTGTATTTCTCAAGCTGTGCAGAAGCTCCATTGTTGGGTTAAGCAGCATGTCTTGGCTGTCATTTTGAGGGGTGGGAGCAACAGCTGGGAAGTTGGGTATAATGTATGTCCTGTGTACTTGGATGACATTTTATTCAGCATACAACGCATGCCTAAAATCTATAACTGGGTAAAAGCATTACTGATCTATACAACCTTTGCACTGGATCTTATGGATGAAATACATTTAGACCAAATTTACAGATATTCAACCTCTACATAGAGACCTGCTAGATACAAATGGAGAAACAGAAAAAGGGCGCACCGACCTAGTGCATTATCATTTAAAATAATTTATTAAAGAAACAAAAATAGGTATCATACTCACAATGGACATAATAACACAGGCATGTCAAACTGAACAAGGTGTTTGATCCAAACAACATGAGTCCATACGATGGAACCCTGGATGACCAACTGGCTAACGCGTTTCGAGGACACAACCTCTTCCTCAGAGCCACTAGACCAGAGACCTGCTAGTCCCCCCTCCCCATACAATATCCTTTAGATACTGATTGAGATGGAAATGCTAGGATCAACAATTTGCACATAGACACTGTCTTAAGGTGATTTCCAGTGTCCCCCATACCATCTTCTATTTTTCTGAGAAAACTAAATAGACATGTACAGTTCGTTTTATTCTGAAGTCAAATTTGGACCAAATTTTCATTATTCAGATGTTTCCAAATTACCGAATTACAATAGTAACAAATCCAAAATAACGAAACAAAAGTCAGACGAAATTCAAATTGGACTCAAATTCAACTAGAATTAGAATTGCAATCAAATATGAAAAGAATAGAATAGATCATAAAAGAATAGAAAAGAAAAGAATAGACTAAACAATAAAATAATAGACTAGAATAAACAATAGAATAGAATAAAATAGAATATAACTCTCTTTCAAAATTTAAATTTTTAATAGAAAAAATGCAACTTCGAATAGAAAAAGAATGAAATAGAAAATAATAGAATAGAAAAGAATAGAATAGAAAAAACAAAAGAATAAAATAGAGAAAATATAACTGTCTTTCAAAGTTCAAATTTTGAATAGAATATATTAGACTTCGAATAAAATAGATTAGAATAGAAAAAGAATGGAATAGAAAAGAATAGAATAGAATAGAAATAAACAATCGAAGAAAATAGAAGAAAACTGTCTTTCAAAATTTGAATTTTGAATAGAATGAATGCAAATGTGAATAGATTAGAATAGAAAGGAAAAAGATAGAATAGAACAGAAAAAACAATAGAATAGAATATAATAGAAAGAATATAACTATCTTCTGAAATTCAAATTTTGAATAGAATAAATTAAAATTCGAATAGATTAGAATAGAAAAAAAACAGGATAGCAAAGACTAGAATTAAAAAAATAGAGCAGAATAAAATAGAATAGAATAGAAAAAAAAAACTGTAGAATAAAACAGAATATAACTGTCTTCCGAAATTCTAAGGAAGAATAAATTTGAATAGATTAGAAAATAATTTTATAAAATAGAATTGAAAAGAAAAGAATAGAAAAAACTATAGAATAGAATAAATGAAAAAGAATATACTTATCTTCCGAAATGTGAATTTCGAATAAAATAAATTAGAATTTCGAATACCAATTCAAATTCAGTTGAAATGAAACAAATTCCGAAAACAAATTCAACGAATTTAATGAACAACACTGCTAACAAAACAGCCTGTGTAAGCACCAGTTGTGCTGGGAGGAACCCATGGATTTAGTTTAGCATTTTCATTGATATAAAAACATCCAAATTTGGAAAGGTTATGTATAAAAAGGTAAATGAATGCAGACCTGTGACTATTTACCAAGTATATTATTGTTCTGTCTCTCCAATCTAAGCATTGATAGTGTGATCTCTGTAACTTACAGTTGTGATGAGATAGTGATAACTTCAACCTCAGTTGGATACCACAGTCAGTGACTCAATCGATAAGACATCTTGTAGATCTTGTGAAGTTTATTCCATAAACTGAGAGAATCTTACAACAATGAACATTCGATAGGTCAAAAGATCATAATGTTTCCTGCTTCATGACATGACGTGAGGCTAGAGCTGCAATGCATTTCTGGGAAAGGGGGAGGGCTATCTATACAGAATTAACTAAACCAAAGGAAAAGGAGGAGCAGAGACAAAATATAGAAACACTTAAAGGCATAAGACAGTCATGTGAAACATGACAATTATAGTGTATAGTAATATTATAATTACACGGCTGAATAGTTGGCAAGTGCTACCATCTAGGACACCCTGCTAGTTACTCTGTACAAGCCCATTGTTCATCAGTCTGCCTACACAAAATGACTATACACTGACCTGTGGTTTCTACATATATACAGATGCCTGTTATACAATGGTACTACCGTTTATATTTGTTTACTTACAAAAACTTTTGACTGAGCTATGTAGCAAGTGTGTTAAACTGTGATAAATGTGGAGAGATTGGTCACATGTCTCTAAGATTTTAACAAATAGAAAATTACTAT